TATATATATAAAATTTTTTGTCAAATGGTGGCTGAAGTGTTTTCCTGCTCTGGTTTCAGGATATGAGTAAACTGAACTCACCAATTCACAATTACAATTGGAAAAAAAACACAAAAATTGGACCGTTCCTGTTTAGTTTTTTTTAATAGAAACAAACAGATTCAATCATTATTTTTTAATTACAGCAGGGAAGCATTTTTGTTACATTATTTTGGGCTGGCAGATAAAAAGGCCATGATCCGGTGGAGGGTGCAGGGTTGGAGTTTTCTGGTGCTGGTTTTGCTCAGGTCTTTCTTGATCAAGTTTTCTGGTCAACAAAAATTGACCATTGATACCAATAGGAATTTTTTTGTGTGACCAAAGTATGGAGCTCAGGGTTGGGTTGGTTTTTTTTTTTGCATCAGTTACTAGGGTTTTTGGGTTCCAAATGTCACTGCATCATCTGCATACATCCTTGCTTAAGCTTATCTTTGATTACACCAAATACAACGAGCTACTAGGGTCTGACGGTTCCTGACCTTGACTCATGCAAATACACAAATACACAACTTACACACCACTCCTAACCGCAAGGCTTGGGATGCTGATTTTTGGAGAACCAGTCCATGGCAGCTGCCTGAAGCCACCCCCACACCCAACCTCCCACACCAAGAGCCTTGTGGCGCTTCCAAGGAGCCAGGAAAGTTTCCAAGTCCAACCTCGAGGCCTCCTCGGAGGGGCCACAGTCCAGGATTTTGTCATTATGTCCCCTCTTTCACCACCCTCAATTTCAGCAAGGCCATTTGGGCACCCCGGTGGGTTGGCTCTTTGCAGGCAAGCGGTACCTAAACCTTCTCACCCTAAACAAGGATGACACACACGGGATTTGCAGCCTGGGAACAGATGCAACGTCCCTGCTTGTGTGCGTGCATATGAGGGTGAAAGATTTCATCTACCAGTCCACTTAAACACAGATTTATTCATTTATTTTTCACTGAAAGTGAGCAAATGGCAACGAATCTCCTGGAAATGAAGTCAGGGTCATCCTTCTTCCAAGTGTACTTGAGCTGCTTAACTAACACGTCCACTCCATTCAACACACAGCTTATTAACATTTTATATACATTATGCCTCCACGAGCGGTCCTGCAGTGACCACAAGACGTGGAAGCCAAAAAAAAAAAAATCAGTTATTCAAAAGACGTCCAAATCTTTCTCCCGCAGGTGGAGTTTTGCCGTCGACGCAACGCGTGGGAGCTCTGAGCCCAAGTGTGGCAAGCACGGCCTCACCGAAACTGCAAGTTCTCCTTCGCAAATAAAGACAGCAGCCGGGGAGGAGCCGTGTAGAAGGCCTAGTGGATGGAAATGTCCGTGTGTCTTCAGAGCTACTCGCCTTTAACGCTGAGACAGAGAGGAGGAGCCAGGAGTGGCTGCAGGTGAGCAAGGAGGATGCACACAGGGCCGCAAGCAGCCGCAGACGCTGCTCTCCTGGCGGTGCCACTGAAGGCTCTGCTGATGGTTGGTGGGGTTTTTTTTTTGGTCTTACAGCAACCATAGGGCTGCACCTTTTTTCTTGTTGTTTTCCTCCTCTCCCCAAAAAAAGAGCAGTGAAATTGCTGAGACCACTCCTTGCTCCTCTCCGCTCCAGGAGCTGCCGCAGGGTGACCCCAGCAAACAGCACAAGAACAAATCCACTGTGGACCGACTACCTCACACCTGAAACAGGACTTTGCTAAGCATTTGGATCTGTTTGGACCAGATGGAAAGGAAAACTACGGATGAGAAGGAAAAGGAGAACAGTAACAACAATAAAAACCAGATCTATTTAGGAAATCATCCTGGTTAAACACCAAAATACAGACCACTGGTAAAGTCCCTTGCATTAGATGCCCATTCAGTGCGATCATAACTAGTGACAGGTGAACTGAAAAAGTTTGGAAAAATCGAGAAAAAATATGAAACAAGTCAGAGAATCCTGTGGGGTGAATGTGCCCCTTTACGTTTCTACTGCGTCTTGAGTTCAGTTCAGCTGGAAAGAAATACTGCTGAAAATCTGCCGTTTTCAAGCCCAGAATAACTCATGAAGATAAAGGTCCACGAAATATGAATGGATGTGGCTTTTCTCTTGGTTTATCCTGGTTTTAAACTCAGGGATCTGGTTCTAAAGATCTCAAACCAGAACTGCACGAGCTTTTCCCTGGATCCAAACCAGTTCATCTATGACTAGTCATGATGATTTAATGTAGAGTTCCTCACTTACAGAAAACAGGTAAAATAGGTCACAAGTGTTTAAAAACAAGTCAAGTCGGGGAAAAAAAAAATAATCAGTTGTATTTGCAGTCAGAAATAGGTAGAAAACACGGAGTTTTTTTAAAAATTATTTTTTAATAAATTTGGCAGAGGATCATGTTGAAACACAAATTTATCACCAAGAAAAGTTCAGAAATCTGATAAAAAGCGTTAGGAAAAAAAAAAACCCCAAAAAACTGTAAAAATGTTCAAAGTGTGCTCATCGGAACTCAAATCCCAGCTAAAACAAGAAGAATTCGTTCTAGTTTTTTTTTTTTGGAGGGGAACTGTTTTCCAGAAACACTCATTTCTGAGCTCTTGGCGCGTCCCAGCTCTCCCAAAGCGCCCGGCAGGGCCAGCGGGGCCGACACAGCGAGCGCTCCGTGAGGTCGTTGCATACGTGCGAGACGTTTTCACTGGGTACATGGAAGCGACTGATTTGAATGGCACAGTTCATACCGAAATTGGGCTGGGCTCTGGTTCCCGAGCAGTTTTGCTGTGAAAGGTGTAGTACTGACCCTCTGGTTCCTCGCCCCAAGACACTCTCCATGATGGAGATGATGGCTGAACACCAATGGCCAAACCATTGTTTTTTCCCCTAACTAAAGCTCGTCTCAGCTCTATAGCGTTAAAGTGATCTGCAAACTCTACCTCGAACACAGCTGTATGACAACGCACACATAAAATAGGAATAATAAAAGAAAATCAGGCGTCAGTGTTTCATCTGTGCTCACAGAAACCATTAATTTAGACACCCCCCAGCCTCTTCACCCCGTGTCCCTCTTCACTGCAGACACCAATTGTAACTCAAAAATGAGGGTCCGAGCTGAACCCCCTAAGAGAATTAACTCTGATTACATTTCCTTGCCTTTGATGGTTAAAGGCCATTACAAAAACTAAAATCAGCTCTATGCATGGTTGTTTATCGTTGGCACATTTGGTGGCACTCGCTGGCTCACAGGACTCCTCCAGTGACCGTGGGGTGGCCACTGCCACTGGCCCAGCAGCTGACATCTGATGTTCACCATTGCCAGCGGTGGAAAAGTTTCATTTATAACTCTTGTGATACAGCAACCAGAAAAAAAAAAGACAACAAACAAAAAAAAGCAACTCTGCAGTGGCTGGTTTTGTTGCTGCAACTCAGCTATCTGATGTACAAATGTGTACAGATTCAACCTAGAAAGGCTGTGAAAGTTATAGATGATGCAGCCCCTTTTTCCTTTTTTTTTTCCCTCCTACTTTAAATTATTTTGGTCCATCTCTTGAGTTTTAAATCACCCCTTTTCTGTGACAGGAGAACCAACACACTAACCAACAAGTGTTTGTGCTGCTGTGGCCAGTTAGCCCATGGGACAATAAAACAAAATAAAACTTACTGTGTAGGAATGTTAAGAACTGGATATGTTCCTGCTTAAATGACAAACTAAGCTGACGGCAGAATAAGCGGATACAAACGCTGCAGCCTAACTGTGGTATCGTAAGAAGGACAAAAATAACCTCTCCTGCAAGAAAACAAACCAATGCCCACAAGAAAAGGCTGAGTTTTTTTCAGAGAACCTGTTCCCAGCCCAACCTGCTCAAGTTTAAAACAAAAATTAAAGGCCTGTGTTTTGGACACTCTTCAAGGAGGAATTTCCCCTGGAAACATCCACTCCTACACCTCTTGTAGTGGTTTCTCTCCGCTCCCCTGTCCACAATTCCTTCTTACCAAATACAAACCGGTTCAGTGTTACATGTTCCCTTTAACTTAAAACCTGGAAAGCCCTGTTTCTGCAGCAGGTAAGATTCATAAGCCTCATAAATACATCTGCCACCCCCCAAAAAAAACTAAAATTAAACTGTAGTTTGACCCAATGATGGGCAAAGGAGACTGAGGGCCCTCGGTCCACTGCTGCTATTTCGTAACACGGCACAAGGGACTCAGTCCTTTTGTCTGTTCCCCTCACAGTAACGACCCCCCTCAAATAAATAAATAAAGCAAATCCTGGTTAATGAACTTGGCAAAGCATTTTTGAGATACAAGGATGAAAAGCACCTGTTTGCTGCGTGATATTATTATCTTCATTACTATTATTATTAACGTCGTGCCTGTTACCAGCGCTGGTTACAGCAGGCGTAGGGGAGCAGTTTTGCTCCTCCTGATGGGGAAGGCCTGGTTTGTGTTCACCTTTGGATGGTCAGAGTCCGGAAGGGACTCTCTTGTTTTTCTGCCCCAAACCAAAGTCCAATAATTAACGCACAAACAAACGAGCACGCCAACATCTACAGCTCTCAGAGGGCAGGCGTTGCTTTTCCCCTCTCAGCCACCACGTTAAAATACGCTTTGCTGGAAAACTCAGGAGCAGGTACTCAACCTCGTGCACAAACAGCAGTTAAGTAAAAAAAACCCCAAAAGTCTAAAAAAAAAAAACCCAAAAAACCAAACCAAAACAAGAGTGAGCCACACCAAATCCTGCCAAGGCCTTCCTGAGGTCCTCTCTCTCTCTGTGTGACAGGTCCCGGTGCCATGTTTGGGAGGGACGGCCAAGAGGATTTTTATACCCAAAACTCCTCTGCCTCCCTCGCAACCTCTGCTCCCACTTCCCAGCTCTGTCTTTACCCAGGAACTGTGCTGAACCAACTGTGCCCTTTCCCCAAAATGTGACCCTGAAGCTGTCGTTCACCACAATCGAACCAGAGGGTGGGAATACTACACCTTTGAAAAGTCTCTTAAACAGCATCATTTTTTAAAAATCTTATCTCTCAACAGAGCTCCCTTTGTGTGTTCTGAAGGTTACCCTGCTCCCAACCATACCAGCACCTAAAAATTGCTTTCTGAGACTTGAATGTATTGCTGGCAAGACAATCAATTCAAGTGGTAAGGTGTATAATATTTAGAGATAAAGATATATATATTTTAAAAAAACCCAATAATAGTAAATTCCTGTAATACGTCTAGTCTGATATGAAAGCTCTCCCTCTACAGAGAGACATCTGCTGTGATTACCTTACAAAATATTAAAAAAAAACACACACAAAAAATAACTTTCTCTGTGAGAAATAAAAATAAATCCTAGTGCAAATATAAAGCTCTGTAAACCTGGTCCTATGAGAATCTATGGTTAGTAAACGGCAGTTAAAGCAGGTTTATCCTCTCACAGAGAGAGCTCACATCATGGTTTCCACAATGATATGAGTTGGCTTGATCAATCCGCCATTCGAAGTGCCATTGGGGCAGAAGGGGGTGCCGCTCTCCGTTTCTTTGGACCACCGATTCACTTCCTTGGGGGCGGCCACCGCTTTTATCCTCTGGAAGGAAGAAGAAAAGCAGAGGTGAGAAGACCGAGCAGCATCCCACGGGTAGGATGACGGTGTGGCGAGCCAAGGACGGGGTTGGTGGCCCCCAGAGATGTTCATGTGCTGTTTGGCTCCGTGAGGACGTGGCAACCCGGGCTGCAGAGCACCACGTTCAGCCTCTGCCCAGCTGCAGAGTCCGTGCAGGCAAGTCAAGACGTGCGAGGGCATTTGCAGCATTATCCAGCATCCCGCACGTCGGGTGTTCAGTGCCACAGCTGCTGCTCACATTGTGTGTGCTCTCCTTCCTCATTCAGAAACAACTCTGCCTTTTAGTCCAGCCACTCGTTGCCAAGTGGCAACTTTGCTCCTACATCACACTTCACAAAGAACTAAATGGCACCTCACCAGTATTTACTCTCTTTCCTTTCCTAATGTGGTCTTTCTGGAGTGTTTTGGCTACTTTTAGACTTGTGTCTCAATACATGGTGACAATGTAGGCAGGAAAATAAACACACTGCTTTGGCCATAGCTGAAAAACACCATTAACACTTGGAGGAAAATAAATGCAAGTGTTTGTTCTCTGGGAAATGCTCCCTTTTTTATTCTATTCTCTCTTTTTTTCCTATCCCAAAGTGTCCCACTTTCTCCTCCCTGGGCTGCCTATAAGACCATCTCATTAGGCAAAAACAAAACTAATCTGAAACCTTAGAAGAGAACTGCTAAGCTTCACGCTTGCACAGGCTCCAAAAACTTTCCACTGGAGGGAAAACAAACTGGAGGGGAACCTGCACTGAACCGAAAAAGGCAAGGGATCGCCTGCAAATCCAGACCCGAGAGAATCTGCACTGCCAAGCCTGAATGCAACCCGAAGTTTTCCAAAGATCAGGGCTGTATGGATACAGTCTTTTCATTTGATTAATTAGGATTTTTAAAAAAATAAATAAAAAGCTAAAAAGTGAAGCCCGCTGGCAGAAGGGTTTGACTTTTATTCAGTCCCCAGAGCAAAGGCCATGCCTGAGAGCCACACAATCCAAACTTCCCTGAAATTCAATGAGCTCCTAGACAGCCAGGTCTGACCCAGGTCTGTCTGTCTCTCTTGTTTTCTCAGTGATTTTTGTGCTTCCTTGTCCCCATGGGCTGCAGAAAAGAGCTCTGGCACTCCGAAGCACCCCAGTCGTTGTCTGCATGTGTCTGCTTGTCTGCAACCATTTGCCAAGGCAGAAACTGCAGAAGTGGGACGCAAGTGAAACCCCCTGGTGTTCGTCTGAGGACAGAAGGCTTCGTGTTTGTTCTGTTTCTGCTGTTTGCCCAAAGGATGGGTGACCTTTAGCAGTTTTGTTTGCATTCACTGCAGGAGAGGCACCCAACTTTGCCCTGTCTGGACAAGGTGGCAGTTTTCCAAGCATTGTGCTTATTTTGTTTAAAACAGAGCGAGTTAAAGCTCCCTTTCTCCAATAGGCAAGACGAGAAGTTGCTCTTACCTCAATGAGCGACCCATCTGACTGGATGATGCGAATGACCATCACCATAGGGATGCAGATCATGGAGGAAAGGGCGAGAACCCAGCCCAGGCCGATTGCCCAGTCTGGGTACGTGTAGACCTTGTTGTAGGTCAGTGGTTTGTACTTGGCCAAAGAAAAGATAAAGCACCCCTGTGGAAGAGAAAGGAAAACAAAGTGAGGCTCAAAACTGCTGAAATGCTGTGTAGCTTTGGTTCTGCCACTGGCCCTAAGGAAGATGGGCAGCAAAAGGCAGAGCTGATCGGTACCATATGTATTTTAAACCAACTGGGGGAATTATTCTTCCATTTAAATCAGCGAAAGAGCATCTGCTTATAGGTAAACTGTTGCTTGACACTAGGGTGTTATGTGATGGTCCTGAACAGCTGCAGTACACTGCGTGCTCTTTTTCAGGGCTCAAATATTTGCTGTACATTGCAAGGAGCTTGCCAGGATGTTCTTCCTGGCCAATGAACTCTTTAAGCAGGCACTGTAATGAATTCTAAGAAACATCCACCCCAACGTAGCCAACTGCAGCTTGCACAGGCACAGTAGAGAGCTGTCACGTGAACAGCTACCATCTGGGAAGACGGCATCTCTGAGGGGTGTGCTCAAACCTCCAGCAGCTCTTTGCAAAGTGGTCTCTGAACACAACAGCCTTCGCTTCAGGAGAAGCAGGAAGAGGCGGCTCAGAGCTGTTACGTGAAAGACTCGAAAGAGCAGAAATGGGTCAGTACTCACCACACAGAGAACTGGTGTGATCACAATCCAGCTCCACTTCATCCAGGGACCAGGTCTGTATCCAATCATATCCTCAATGGCATCATAAATATTATCAGCGCCTGTAACAGTGAGCAAGATCGAGCAGGTAAAAGCCACGTAAGGACTGCAGGATTACGGCTGCCTCTCTATGCTCCCCAAGGGGTATTAAAGGGAAGATGAGGGTATCAGATGCTCAAATGCTTCCCATAGCTGTGAAGTTCAAAATGATGTTCTCCTTGAGCAGCTCAAAGGTTGGTTGTCTCGCCCCCACACCCCCTCATGAGCTGGATGCAGGAGCGTGATGTGAATCCCTCCCACCCCCATTATGGACCCACTCCTCTCCCCAGGCTCTCACTGGTCTTGCCAGAGGGATCACCACGGGAAGGACACAACAGCCAGTGGTACACCCTGCTTCTACAGCCATTTGACTGCTGTAAAATGAAAAAATGGTTTGTTTCGCTTTCTTTATTTTTTCTTTTATGAGTACATGAAGAATCAGTGACACGACCAGTCCTGAGCAGCAAAATTCTGCTCATTCCTTAGCTACCATCCCAGGCAGCCGCAGAGGCCGCTGTCAGACCTCAGTAGGCAGCATAGCCTCGAAATAATGGGACAGGAGGCACTTTTCCATCACCTTCCTTTTGTATTTCCTATTTGGTTGGCTTGGCCCTTGCAGACATTTGAGCTTTGAAAGGAAATTCTCTGAGAGACAAACAGAAATTTTCACAGCTGGCCAAACTTTCAACTCTCCTCTCTAAACTTAGCACATGTTTAATTGTGTCTTTATTAATTATTATTTCCATTAATTAATGGAAAAATACCCATTTTCCTGTGGAAAAACACTAGAAGCTGGCTTCCTCCTAGATGCAAATTTATCTCCATGAGGTCAGTGCAACTTTATATTAATGGCATGTGCCTGTTGCCGGGAAGAAGATGGGTGGCTGATGATTCAATGTTTGGCCAGCAAAATTGCCACTGACTCATCAAAAGGTATCAAGATGAAAGGATTTGCACTTACCATAAACCCAGGCTACAGCAATACATTCAAAGAATGCAACCCACAAAAGGCATACACCACTAGCTGCATAGTAGTCAAAGAGTTGAAAAACATACATGCCACCCTGCAAGAGACAGACACAACAGATTAGGATCCGACAGGAAAAAAACTCGAATTCTTCAGGTCCAGCTCCCCATAACATCTACCAACATTATCTTAATGACTGCTGTCTAACAAGAAGAAATATCAAGCAAGTAGGTAAGGTAAACATTACCTTCCTCAGGGAATGTGCGTGTCTACTACAGGAAGCATTCCAAACAAGACGACGATTAAACAAAATTAAGCCACTTACTTAGTATAATCTACTGAGACACTTAATTCTTTCCTTCTTAAAGTATTTTAGGATGGGCATTAATAGAAACAAACGGTGGAAAGAAATAATAGGTCACCTCCTAACATTAATGCCTCCAAACTACTAAAACTGGAAGTCAGTGCATCAGGAGGGTCTCCATTTATGATTTGAGTGTTTTCAAGATAACAGTTATTTTTTTTCTTTCTAGCTCTCTTTAGTTATACCGTGCTGTGAGACTCTT